ACCATCAAACACGAGTAGTGAAGATCAAACATGAGTACTGACGGAGAAACATTAAACAAATATTTACAACATTCACATCCAGTTATAATCTACTCGATTAGCATAGTTTAAATCACATATCTCCTTCTCCATATCAGCTCTCTGATCCCTGTTTTGAGCGCAGGCGAGGAAACCTCATATATCTACTCCATCAGAATTAGATAACAACTGTACTTAACTGCAACATAAACAATTATAACCACAAATTGCTAGATCACTGCATCTAATTCACCAAAATACCATCAAACACGAGTAATGATGTAACGGCCCCGGAAATATTAAAAAGAAATGAGTATTTAAATATATCGAATGCGGAAGCGAGATCAAAATTTTAGTTAACATCCCTTACACGAAAAACCAAAAAACGTACTTAAAATATAAAAGATTAAACTAACTAAGAAAGAAACTCGAAAATAAAACTATGCGTATGACTACAGAGTCTCTAGGCATCCCCTTCGTCGTCCTCCTGCGGAACGGGCTCGGGAACCATGTCTTCCTGATCTGAAATGGTTAATTAAGGAGTGAGCTACACTAGCCCAGTAAGAACATCACGATATCTCACCGTCACGGAGATAAAGGTGGGTAGAAAACCAAAAAAAGACCAATGGAGCATAATTTACAACAAACTCGTTTATTAACATGAAAACCTTTACCATCCACTTACCTTGGTGGAATTTATGAAAACTATATAAGAAAAACAATAACATTATCATAATCATTGAATAATATAAGCTGTAAAACATAACACTTATCACGCCTCTTGTAATTCAATCATTGTACAACATATCTTTTTCTCATTTACCAGCCTACTAGTATCCGTGGGGGTCCATAGGGGTTCCGCTACCCGTTAACCTTTAACATTCATAATCAGTTTTCAGGGCCGTTCCCATACCCCGTCCGGTATGGGCGCCAAAACCATGAACCTCAATACCCCGTCCGGTATGAGGGTGAAACGGGCCGTCCCCATACCCCGTCCGGTATGGGGGCCAAAACCATAAACCTCAATACCCCGTCCGGTATGAGGGTGAAACGGGCCGTCCCCATACCCCGTCCGGTATGGGCGCCAAAACCATAAGATCTCCATACCCCGTCCGGCATGTGAGACCACAATCCCGGTAGGGTTCCCTACGGACCCGGTCCGTCCACCATCTCCCAAGATATCTAGTCAGGCTGACCCCCATAATACAATTATCAGTCTACACAACATTTCATTTTCCTTTTCCTCAATCAGCATCATCAATTCACATACAAACAAGCAAACAGTAATTCATGCCGAACATACAACATACAGTATCAGTTTTTCAGTCATTCAACCCATGATTAATAAAAACGTAGTAAATGCGCACAAATATGTAAAATAAACACATCAAACCTCATTTTGCATTTAAAGCTGTAAACAGGCCAAATAACAGTAAATCACCAATCACACTAGACTCGGGCTCCATTAGCAACCTTAAGCAATTTCACACATGCGTTAATTCAAGAAATACCGTTTTATCATTTTGAACTTTAATACCGTGATAGGAAATAGGGTGAGGGGTCCTTACTTGTTTTCGGGATCCGAATACGATTCACAGTGCGCCTGCAGGCCGTCCCTAATTTTCCCTGAGTTTTTCCCGGGAAACTGAAACACACTAACCGTACCTGCACGTGTTCCAAAAAAAATCCAAATTAGGCCCAGGGCCTCTTTCGGCCCAAATCGCAACTCCGGCACGGCGGCTCCGCCGTGCTCCGGCGACGGCGCCGCCGCTGGCGGCGGCGAGTCACCTCGGGTTGACTGTTTTCGGCCGTTTTCGGCCGAATTCGGCCACACTCGCATTGGTCCTTGTCAGAAAACAACCCTAGGGCCCTCGGGGGGCCAAAAAATCACGGAAAACCGGAGCTTACCGGCGGCGGCGCTCTCGGGTGCAGCGGCTCTCCGGCGAGGTTCGTGTTTTGGTGATTCGGCTCCGGTCAACCTGTAGAGAAAAGAATGGTGATCACGGTGATATAAAAATTGCATCGAACGGAGGTCGGGAAGGACCTCGTCGGAGGCAAAAACCGAGAGGGGGCGCGGCGGCGCCGCTGGGCTTCGGCCGCGTATTCCGGCCGTTTGGCCGGGATTTCGGTTTCGATTTGGCCATAGGAGGAATCAGTGGGGAAAAACGAGTCGGGGGTATGAAATTTACCTCGTTCGGCGGTCGGAAATTTCCCCGGTGCGGCGGCGAGCGGCGGCGGGTGGCGGCGGTCGGCCTCTGGTTCGTCTTCTCCGGCGAGCGGCTGGCGGCTAGGGTTTGTGGTCTGGTGTGGGGGTT